AGGAGGGGTTCTATCCCCTCTGTTATGGAACCTTGTAATGAACGAACTACTATGTCTCTTGTGCCATAATGGGTATGAAGCACTGGACTATGCAGATGACTAAGTCATCTTAGTCCGGGGTAAAAACAATAATGTAGTAAAGGGATGTATTCAGCAGGCCCTGAACATTATAACAAGATGAACCGAAGAAAAAGGGCTTAACATACGCCCATCCAAATCGACCATAGTAGCATTCACCAAGAGGACTAATACGGAGGGTCTCGGACCTCAAAAACTTCGAGGTGAAGAAATACAAGTGTCGAGGGAGGTTAAATATCTGGGAGTAATCCTAGATTCCAAACTGACCTGGAACCAACACTTGGACAGGATGAAGAGGAAAGCCGAGGTAGCACTGATGCTCGCCAGTCTCACCTATGGAAAAACATAGGAGCTAAAACCAGACATGGTATATTGGCTATACACGATGGTGGTTAAATCCATGATAACATACGCATCTCTGGTCTGGTGGCCAAAGATGAAGCAGGCGACCGCCATTAACAAACTAGGCAAAGTGCAAAGACTTGCATATTTGGAAATAACGGGAGCAATGAGAACTACTCCAACAGCTGCATTGGAGACACTCCTGAATCTACCTCCTTCACACTTTGTAATAATGGGGGACGCCAGGATGGGTCGATTCAGACTGGAAAACTCACCGAACTACAAAAGATCGGACCGAACAGAAATTTCGGAACAAGAAGAGGAGCACATATTGAATTTGTGCACGGACCACATGACACCGAAGTACACCTTTAACACAAACTTCACGGCCAAAATCATAAGCCGTGAAGAGTGAAAGGCCATTAGTCATCCCGAAAACATGTTTGGAAAATACATCTGGTATACAGGAGCTGGAATATGCCGAGCGGATAAAAATATAAACAACAGCTATCCGCTAGGACTATTCACATCCGCCTTACAAGCGGAAGTGTATGCTATCATGCAGTGTGCAAGGCTTATTGAATTTAGACCTCAAAGAAATGAGCGGATCAAGATTTTTACAGACAGCAAGAGCACACTTGGAGCTCTGACAAAGCCGAAGATGACATCAAAACTGGTCTGGGAATGCCAGACCAGTTTTGGAAGAACTGAATGAACTTGCAAACTGGAACAAATTAACTATATACTGGGTGCCAGGGCATTCAGGAATCACAGGTATTGATTAAGCTGATGAATGCGCTAGACGCAAATCATCAACTTCAGGTATAGGTCCTGAACCAGCTCTGGGGTTACCAAAATCATTGGTACGAAACCAGATTAGTACATGTACCAATAAGAATCACACAGAGTACTGGACAAAAGTACCTGGCAACAAACACAGAGAACCTTCATTAGGAAACCGTCCGAGAAAAGAACCGAAGAACCACTTCAATATAGTAGGGATCGGCTCAGAATAATTACAGGGTTGCTAACCGGTCATTGTTCGCTTAGAGGACACCTGAATAAAATGGGGCTGTACAACGGAGACCTCAGCTGATTATGCAACGAAGGGATAGAAACAGCTCTATACATCCTATGCGAATGTGAGGCACTGAATCACAGGAGGCAGGCACTATATGGACGTACAAAATTACGCCCAGAAGAATATGACTAACATCCAACACGGAACCTGTACAAACTAGTACAGGGGCTGCAGTGTTTTCTGGAGATTTGGACTAAATGGACAAGTCAGACAGCTCCCAAGGTACAAAAAAATGCCAATGCTAAAACAATAACCATTTAACTTTAATAACATATCAAAATTACCAACTATTGATCCAAAAACCTACTAGTGGATTCCTCCAACTACCTGTGGATTCTAAACTTGTTTCCAAAATTCACAAATTGAAATGGGGAGAGCTGCATATACGTGTCGATTGTGAGTTTTAAAAAACTAATTAATTGACATTTTTGATTCAGTCACCCAATGTAACCGGCACAAAGAGATAATATATGAAGAATATTCAGGTGAATGTGCAGGAGCATCAGCCTTGTTGTTGAATTCAACCCTAATAATGACAAATAATACAATACAAACATACATTTATAGTTAGTGTAGTTGTTAAAACTATCTCAAAATCTTTCTGGTTCAAAAATCATCCCTGCCAAATTTTCAGTTCAACTTCAGTTTTTAAGCTGATGAAATGTCGAAGACAGTTTGTTGATCACGATTGATTAGATATTGAACAGAATCAACGTCTGGAAATTGACAAGAGAAGTGAAGTTCAGTATCATCTGCATAATGATAAATGTTGCAAATATACAAATTGACGAGTAAATAACCAAGGATTGATCCTTGGGAAATGCCTCCAATCACGGGTAGAGATTTTGAAATAACGAATTCACAGAAAAATGAAAAAAGCTGAGTTTATTGCACAGAATGTCACACAGGATAGCTTCACTGTGGTCAAGAAGACTGAACAAGTGAGATCAGTTCGTCGATAGTTTTGAAAACGTCATCGATTATGGTAAGTGAAGCTGTGTTTGTACTGTGTCGGGTTCTAAAATCGGACTGCACGAAGGTAATGATTTGGTTTTATGAAGTTGAAAATTTAGTTCTTCATCAACATCTCAACTACTTTGGAAATGCATGGTAAGATGGTAATAGGCCTCAGATCAAAAGGGGATGGTGGCTTGCTGATTTCTTTGGTAAGGACAGGGGCGTCACTTTTGATTTCTATTTGAGTATTGGTACATAGTATGTTCCTTTTCCTCTTGGGACAGAACTGTCACTAGTCAACAATTTTCCTTTCAGACGAAAATTTGAAACATGCCGCCGAGGCGCGTTGAGATCAATCGAGTCCTGGACACACAAAACCGGTATGTAAGTGATCTACTCGAATCATTTCAGCGTGGTACTGCTGCTGGATAAACGAGAAACATCTGCAAGACTAACCTCTGTGAGGTATGACATAATTGTCTTATGAAATTCAATGTCCTCGTTTGGAACTTTGTTTACGAGATGGACCTGTTACTAATTAACAATTTTACTCTGAGATGAAGGTTTTATACATGTAGGCGAGCCGCGCTGAAGTTCATATTTGAATTGAATGCCAGATTATTATCGAAGGATTTTGCAATATACTACAATTTTTGATCAGCGTTATCCTCATTTAGAATCGATATCTTCTGGTTTTCACCTGCTACTCCATTTTTCGATTCAATCAGAATCAGAATTGAGAAAATTCAAGATGCCAGCCAAACAGATATTCCTAGACTCATCAAGTGTCACCATGGTGATTTTTTCCTGTTTGTTATATTTGTTGTTCATATGAACGGTAATTTATTTTTTCATGTCCCTTCGAAGAAATAATATAATACATTTTTTTATACACTTAATTTTTTACTAGCTTTTCATCTGACAAAATGGTTTAGACTTTCACGTCTAAGGTTTTCAGTGTCATTGCTTTTCGATTTTGAAAGCCGTGGATTTTTGGAATTTCTTCCTGACGTTTCGCTGGTGCGAGTGGCTAGCTTCTTCAGAGGTTTAACCATCATGGCTTGCTGTCCGATGACTACCTTTTAGGCTCCGTAAAGCGTATTTATGCCTTGTCAGGTAATCAGTTGTATTTGTAAATGCATTTGTACCTGTATTCGTACCTGCACTTGAACCTGGAACATTAACAATCTTGCTGCCTGTTGTCCTGTTCGTTATTTTTGAATTCCTTAAAATGGGGTTCCATATTTGATTGAGGTTCACCGCTTCTTCTTTTCTATTGAAATTATCCATGTGTTTGTGGATCTCTATTGCCTACCGTTCCAGTCGGCTATAGCATTCCTAGATGTACTAGTAGAACGATTTGGTACCAGACTAACCCACAAAGTGTATCGAAAACCCACACACACAGATAGATACTTGCACGCACTATCGAACCACCATCCTAGCCAAAAGAGAGGAGTTTTCTCCACTCTAACGTAACGGGCTCGGAAAATATGTGAACCAGAACATCTGGAGAGGGAACTGAAATACCTGGAAGTTACTTTGAGATCGAATGGGTACAGTGCCTACGAGACCAGAAGAGCCATGAGACCGAAGGGCACCACGGTTCAGAAAGCGAAAAAGGAACAGATGGTTGCACGCGCATATCTACCATTTGTCCCTAGGGTCACGGATAGAATTGGAAAACTATTGGGTAAACACGACATCAAAACAGTCTTCAAACCGACGAGGAAGATACAACAAAGCCTCAGGTCGGCTAAAGACAAAAGAGACCCATTATCAGCAGCAGGTGTCTATCGCATTCCGTGCACTTGTGGAAAGGTATATATCGGAACCACTAAACGATCCATGGGAACTAGACTAAAACAGCATAAAAGGAACTACAGACTAGGCCAAACAGACAAGTCAGCTATGGCAGAACACGCACTGAGTGAAGAAGACCACAGAATTTTGTTTGAAAACACAAAACTAATTGCCCCCAACCAGGGATACCAAAGCCGACTGGTACGGGAGGCAATAGAGATCCACAAAAACACGGATAATTTTGATAGAAAAAAAGAAGCGGTGAACCTCAGTCAAATATGGAACCCCATTTTAAGGAATTTTAGGATAACGAACAGGACAACAGGCAGCAAGATCATTGATGTTCCAGGTTCAAGTGCAGGTACGAAAATTGAATTGCACGTCTGTATTCAAAATAGTAGAGCACAAAAATTAGCAATATATTTTAACTATGAAAAACGTTCCAGATGAAAAGTTTTCACAAAAAAATATTTCATTGATCTGGATTCCCCCAAAACACTCTCGTATTCTAAAATAATTAACAAAAGCGGAACAATACTTTCAACAGCATCAAACCATTGGAAGTAACGAATGAATAATCAGAATCTACATAAGGAATTTAATTAAATTCTCTTCCTTTGACACCCGACCACGATGAAATAAAATACATCTCAAACAAGTTCGTTCATTCCATAATGAAGGCAAATGTGAAACAAAACAGATTCTGAACATCTAATCCAATCTTGAAAACATTACTCACATTTTCAGCAGCATCCAAGTCTTTGATGTTATTTATATAAATATCCCCGAGTAGAATCAACCCCTTGACGTGGTCCGGATGATACTTGACGAGCTGATTCAAAAAAGGCGCTGCCTCCAGGGGGCGCTGATCATCGGCCAGCAGCAAAGCCAGATTGAAGAGGGCGCTACGGAAGTCTGCCTTCAGATGGACAGCCCGCCTGAACCAGTGTTCGGCCTCCTGAATGTCCTTCTCATCCATGGCGAGCATCCCCAGGTTGAAGTGCACCCTCTCGTTGTCAGGGTCCTTGCCTAATAGCTTCAGGAGGCGTTCCTTGGCGATTTTTCGCAGTTCTGGTCTTCCAAACTCTTGCAGGAGGATGGCTGAGTTCAGGAGTGCTTGCTCATGCTCAGGATCGAATTCCAGGGCCTTGTCTAGGTAGGCAAGGGCTTGAGAGGCTTTGCCTTGTTCCAGAAAAACTACACCGAGCTGTAGAAATATTACACAACTGATTTGTTAGTATGAAACAAGTCCATATGGTGATGGAGAGATTATAATGTATTCATACCGTTTTCCGTAAAATATATTTCGGAAAGAAATATTTAGCATCATTTATGAAAATGAATGAAATTGTTAAATTTTTCTTGACTCTTAGATCGTGACACTGACTATAACATACGTGCTCATATATCAATTTATGAATTACAGAAATTCATCTATTCGCAGTCTATTATAAAAATAAAAAACATTCCAGTATAAAACTCACAGAACATAGATATTTACATGATTATAAAACAGAACAACTCAATAATCTGTTGAAATGGACTTTCAAATCTGCATTTTTCGGAAAATCTGTATTTCACAAAGAACTACTCGATCATAATGAAATACCAAACGACATTGGGCGATTTTCCAATGCCACAAAATCATTTGCTATATTAATTCATATTATATTTGCTTCCACTAGAACTTCAAGATGGAGCAGAAAATATGTGAGAAAATGTTAAGCATAATGGTTTTCTCAAAAAATTATCTGATATACAGGATACCTTGTAGGAGCATGGCTTATTAAAGTCAAATAGTTATTTTGTTTTCCATATTCGAGTTTTGTCAAAAAAGTAGGTAACTTCAGAAAATATCAATTGTATTTTCATTTAAGGATTCTGGAAACAAACGAAAAATAACATAATTTCAATTTCAGTTTGTTTATCAATTGATTTCTCACATTATGGAACGTCCCTGGGGTAATTTCGTTGGTAACTTTTGTCATCCCATCTATGAGTTCTATAATGAAGTGCAATTTATGTAACTTCCACTTTATATTTCACCATATAAACACAAAATATCCAACAACATCATATCAGGCGAACAAGCAAACCATTTCTATCTACCGATATGGATAGAAAATTTATTATAATATTACCTAATTTTTTTCAGTACCATCTTTTTTTTTGATCGATCAAAAAGACAATACTGTCTGACAATATGTTGAATTATTCTCAGGTGTTTTTATGCTAATCCTTCACCAGGACCTGACGGTATAAGACTTCAATGGGGACTGGATATTCTTATGCCGCACCTGGTTGGAATATTCAGAGACTCTCTAGCTTTGAGGTAGATCCCCACTAAGTGGAGAAAAGTACGAGAAGTATTTATACCCAAACCAGGTAGGATGGACTACACCTCATAAAAAGCATTCCGACCAATAAATCTCACATCGTCCTTCTTAAAGCCTATGGAAAGGATATGTGAGCGGTACATAAGAGATGAAGTACTAGTTCACAACCCACTTCATCCAAATCAGCATGCATACACTCCGGGAAGGTCTACTGATTCGGACTTTCACCATGTGGTTGACAGAATCGAGAGATCATTGGACAACAAAGAATCCACCCTGGATATATTAACTGATATCGAGGATGTGTTTGATGAAACAATCTTTCCAACAATTACCCAGCAACTAAACTCCAGGAATGTACCCCCAGTAGTAGGAAAATGGATACTCAAAATACTCTCTAGTAGAGCAATAAGTATCAATGTAGAAGACATCACAGTGAGAGGACTGGTCATGAGGGGATATCCATAGGGAGGGGTCTTATCACCCCTTCTGTGGAACATAGTTTTGGAAACCCTGATTGATCACCTCAACAATAATGGATTCTACACAGTTGCGTATGCAGATGACACAGTTATCTTGCAGACCGGCAAGTGAACACACTGTGCGATAGAGCGCAGGACGGGCTCAAATTAATGGAAACATGGTGTTAGGAACACTCACTGTCGATCAATCCTAAGAAGACTGAGATGGTCCTTTTCACCAAGAAAAGAAGTTTATCAGACTCAAAACCTCCCGAAATCTTCAAAAGCAAATTAAACTTCTCTGAAGAGGTGAAATGCCTTGGTAGTATCCTTAACAGAAATCTAACATGAAACTCTTACCTACAGAGTAGAGCAAAAAGACCATATGTGGCTCATGAGCAATGTCGGTGGACAGTGGGACGCGCATAACGTCTTTCACCCCATATTGTCACCTGGATCTATACTGCCAATAATAAGACCTAAGTTAACGTACGGAGCCATTGCATGGAGACCGAAAATTCTGTGAGCAACGGCCATCCAAAAATTATATCAAATACAGCGACTGGCTTGTTTAAACATCACAGGAGCCATGAGAACAACACCAACCGCGGTTATGGAATTGATTACGGGTCTGACCCCTCTCGACTTGTACGTTGAGGAGGTTGCGTTAATGGCCATGTTACGATTGCGCACGGCTGGTGTAAACTTCGAGGTAGGAATGAGTCAATTGAGGCTGAACCTATGGCGAGAAGCGCTTACTGCGCAACCTCTGCTGCAGGCAACCAGGGGTGCAATTGAACCAAGGTTTGTGTTTAATAAACCCTACAAAATACAAATAAAATAGAACACAGAGTCAGATGCTACAACGAATATATACACAAATCCTAAAAACCAAAGAAGGTTCTGGTGGAGTATACTCCGGATCACTAAGCCTAAGTATTAAGTGGAGAATGGGAAAAATACCAGCGTGGTTCAAACAGAACTGTCTGGTATCTCAATCGCCACAAAAGAAATAACTAGGAAAAGAATTTCTGGCAAAAACATAACAATCTGCACCCGCAGCAGACAAGCCCTATTAGACAACAGAACAGACAACTTGTTACCTTAGGGCTAGTACTAGAGTGCCACCAACATTTAGCCAAAGCCTCGGTAGATAATAACATTATCCTGAGGTGGGTTAAAGGACACGACAGGAGTAAAGGTAATCGCATTGCCGACTATTTAGCCAAGGAAGCGGTTCGAATAAGGGTTTTAGGACCCAGTGGCACCTACGGCCTGATGACTTCCACAATTGCGGAACTAGCCAAATGTTACACCCTAAAATGATGTGATGGAATCAAAGGATGCAATCTTGCTAGAATCACCCTGGGCGAACCTGGGAATGTGGCGCCGAAGATATATCTGGCGATGACCATGAAAAATATACGTTTAACAGTAGGATTTCTGACTGGACACCTCCATAGTAGACTAGTGGACACACCTCTATGCGGGATGTGTGAACAGGAAGATGAGCCTGTCAGGCATGTCCTATGCGAGTGTCTGGACTTATCGTCAATAAGAGTGTGTGTTCGGCGAGTCTTGGCCTACACCTGCCGATATAAAGGAGATGTATCCCAGTGATCTGTCCACTTTTCTGGAAAGAACACGATGGACGATGACCTAGGAGGACAACTCCTCATGAGGATGTACAATGGGTCACATGTGGTCTAAGTGCTGTGGGCCTACACTCACCCTCCCTACTCTACAGATACATTTACAGATACTTATCCTCTTCATTACATAAATGAGCAGACCATTGGCATAACTCACGAAATTATCTATGAAGCATTTCAAAATGTGTTGAATCTATGAACAGATTTCATCATTGTCAATGAGTGAAACTGAAACGAGTTTTGAATAATAATTCCAGATAAATTGTATAGGTCGTTTGTTGGCGAATTCTGAAATTCAAATATGAATTAGCATATCCTTCAAAAAATTAAAAAAATATGTGTCACTTGCAGATAGGTAGGTTATTAACATTTTGAAAATGATGCCGTCTTATGTGAATTTTGTCCAATCTCAAATCTTATTATGAAGTAGTGGGGACATTTCACGTCCACACTGTATGTGAAAATATTGCAGTTTTGATGATATCAGATATATTTGTATCGAATTGAGGACCTTCTTTTCTTGGGAGATGATATAAAATCTATGAAATAACAAATGAAATTTTAAATTGAAAATAATAGTTGAAAATAACAATTATATCAAGCAAAAAACACTGAAAATGAATTACAATAAAATGAAAAATCAAGCAAAAAATTGAAAATTGAAATGAAATGAGAAATTGAAAATCCAACGAATTCAAGCCAAGTTATTTCACGACGTTTCGATTGTTAGTATCCACCATCGTCTCCGAGTGACGACTGAAGAAACAGTCATCACCCGATCTACAACGTGTTTCTCTATACAATAGCTTTTTCGAGCGTTCGCATTATTATTAACGCTTGAGAAAGCTATTGTATAGCAAAACACGTGTTGCGGTTTTTGTGAAATCCTTCATAGTGAAAATCATACAATAAACTGTAATAATACGTTTTAATATAGATTTTCATCAAGTATCGGTCAGTTCTGTTCAATTAATTGTTCAATTCTTTTTTCTTTTCCAATTTCTTTTCAGGGATTTTTGCTTAGTACCTATAATTGTTATTTTCAGTTATTCTTTTCAATTCTGATTTTCATTTGTTATTTCAGAGATTGCGAATCATATCATATTAGATAATGAAAGTCCGAACTAATAAAATTAACCCAGTTATAACCCGGAGACGATTGTGAATACTAACAATAGAAACGTCGTGAAGGAACTTGGCTTGAAATCGTTAGATTTCCAATTTTTCATTTCATTTTGATTATTCAATTTTCAATTATTTGCTTCATTTTTCATTTTACTGTAGTTTCTCTTCAGGGTTTTTTGCCTAATATAATTGTTATTTTCAGCTAATCTTTTCAATTTTAATTTTCATTTGTTATTTCAGACATTTAAAATTATATCATATTAGACAATGGAAGTCCGAACTGAAGAAATTCAACATGTAACATTGTTAACCACCTTGAAACAAACGTAAAACTATACAAGTTATGTGAAAATAATGTTGATCCTATCTTTCCGGAAACAAAAATGTGAAAATCGCCACAAATTACCACCCCAATTGAAAATAATGATTATCACTTCACAATTCACCGTATTCTTGTATTTGTAAATTACTTTCGGAATTTGAATGATTCGAAGTGCTTGGTTGTGAAAAAAAACTTGATGTGACAAAAGCATTTTTTTGGAAATTGACAAACAATTGCTTTCTTCACAGAATAACTCAAAATCCATTGACTATACGCAAAGTTATTAAAAGAGGAGCTATTTTCTTCAACATTACGTAAAATGCTCATTATACAGGATTATACAGGAAAAAACATACGTAGAGGTTTTTCAAGCACTTCAGAAAAAGTCTTATGAGTTTCATTCAAAAAGGCATGTTTTTTGTTACCCTATTGAAATTTCCAATTTTGACGTCTGATGAATAAAAACCAAGTTTCAATAAAGGATTACTGCAATTTAATTGGGTCTACTGACACCGTAAACCAACCAATATTTTTAGTTTTCATCAAGTTTATTTGCGAAAAAACGGTGAACATTTTGCACCCACAAGATGGTGTGATTCTTTAATCACAAAAAAAAGTATTATCTGAAGCACTCAATCGCTAAATTTTTCGTGAACCTTCACCCTCGATAAAAATCGCCTCTACAAGAAGAACGTAAACTCCTAAGTCTACGACTCACATTGTAATAAATATCCGGATTGTTGCTATCATACAAAAGAGCTCTTTCGTAAACCTCTTGTGCTTCCTTTGTCCTGTTCAGCTTTATCAATATATCCCCTCTGTTAATATATGCTTGAGTGTAATCTGCCCTCATACTAATCGCCTGTCGGTACAACATATCCGCTTCTTCCAGCCGGGTAGAGTTTTTCGAGATCAAGTTGGCCAAGTTCAGGAAAACGTTTAAGTGATTCGGGGCTATTCTCGCTTGATATGACTCCCCCGGCTTTGCCTTCGGGAGGAGAGATTTCGCCTTCAAGTAGGCCTCTTCGGCTTCTTTGAACATCTTGAGATGGTTGTAGGTGCGGCCTACGTTGATGTGAGCTCCTGGAAAGAGGATTATCAAAGGAACATCGATAAAACTTATGAAGAAATGGAAAGTTCAGTAGAGAAAAATGTGGATTCATTATATGGTGGTATAAGTTGTATTGTTGTGGTCTTAATTGATTTTCAGACTGGCTCAACTACCTAATATGAGAAACAGTGTGATATTTTTGAAAATTTAAAACAATTATTTTAATTTTATTTGAGTCATCTTTCTGTTTTTTCTATGTCCTTTAGATTCAATAACATATTGAGAAAAGCAATTTTAACTTTTCGTAAATATCTCATTACACTTTAGGGCCAATGAGCCACACAAAACTTGAACATAAAACAATTTAATTTACTTCTTCCCTCATTAACGGGTATGAATATTTATCGTATTGCAGGCAGGAAGATTTGATCTAGGTGTTGGTTCTGCTAAATATCAATTTTTGATTCTCTTTCTTATCAATCCAAAAAATTTAGAGTTACAAAAGTATTGTTTCAAAAGAATTTCGAACCCTTTAACTCACCAACGTCATCTTCTTGAACGCTAACGGCAGTCTTGAAAAACTTCAGCGCCTCCTGAAAATTTCCCTGACTTTCCAAGGCATGCCCTACATTATTGAACAACTTAGCGTTTTTCTGGTTGACCCTGAGTCCCGACATGAATATTGTATACTCGTTTTCCCAGTCCCAATTTCTCAAGTACGTCTTGCTGCCGTGGCACAAAAGAAGCAGGCAGAGGAACAGGTAAACCAGCTGTTTTCCTTTAGTTTGAGACAAAAGGTGAAAACCGTATCCTACCAGCATACAGAAGCCCATGGAGGGCATGTAGAGGACTCTTTCTGCTACGACGAAACCTACAGGAAAAAAGAGATTCGAGGCTGGAATGAAGGGTAGTACCATCATCGAGGTTCCCTAGAAATGAAAAAATGGTTTTAGTAATAAACAATTATGTTGATTGCTGATATTTTTTGTAATTTTTTTGGAGAAAGATGGAGTTGGGAAAAGACCAGTATTTTTTGGATCACTGAATGTCATCTTCTGGAGATACTGGGATGCAGAAATGTGATTCAACAAATAATTGTATTGCAAAGAATCTAATTTGTGTGAATGTATCAAATTTTATGAGTTCTACAAAAAATGTCTAAACTACGTTTTTTCATTGAACACGTTGGATATTCAGATACTGGTGCTGTATAACGGCAGTATCAGTATCTATATTCCAAGTATCACGGTAATATAAGCGAAACTCTCTTTTATGCATGCATTCGATTTCGAGTAGCAGTAGTAGTATTCACGTTTTTGATACTTAGCACAGTAATGTGAAAGAATGAGTTGTTAATATTATTGATAATGACAACCATCAACTTTCGAAAGGCAGATGTATCGGTAAGAACCCAAACAATCCAGATATAGTTTCAGTTATTATCACATATCAGCATTCATCACAATCATTTTGAAAATTTGATGAACTACCTCCCTCAACATTTTCTTATTCATTTGTAATTGTATTTCTGGTTTTCAACCCTTCTTGGTATGAATAGATGTTTTGTATCAGTTTGAATTGCTGAGATTTCTTCCACCATAGTTTTGGAATGACTTGTTAGTGCCGCTTGTTGGAAAGTTCTTACTCCATATATTCATCATCTAGTTCTATGACATTGAGAGTTCAAAAATTATCACTTTTAGTTTAAACGGATAACAAACAGAAGGAGGATCAACTGATAGTTTATTTGAATTTCCATTTCAATATTTTCTCATTTTTTTTTCTGTTAGGGTAGTGAAAGAGAATAGAGAATTATTCACTTACGAAAGGTGGGAAACTGTGCAGTTATCAAGAAAACGGCTCAAAATGACGATAATTCACTTTCTTTCTGAGATATGACGGAATTCAAATGTCTGTCGAATATTGTAAAGCCATTGTGAGAATAAATTTCTCACAATACAACACCCCTCCTGTCTATTCAACGGATTGGAAAATATTCATCCAATACACATTGAACAGCAACAAGAATTGAGGTTACCTCAAGTTTGTCTTGCCACGCATGAGAACTGTCAGAAACTATCTGGCTACTGAGGAAATCCCCTCTAATAATTATCCAAATAACATATACGATTTTGGTTTTGAAACTATATCGTAAATACAGATCAAATTTATTCCAGTTTAAGAGTATCCGTCGGAGAGGTTTTACACATTTGGTATCTTTTGTTTGAAGGTGACAATGTTTCATGATGAATTTCACTAGTTTGGACTCCCATTGTCTAATATATAAAATGATTTGAAATAGGAGAAAATTCAAGGAAGCCGCATACATGTTGTCCAACAACTTATTCAGCCAAGCTAGCTTAGAGATATGCAACATATGGAAACCCATCATCAAGCGAAAAATAGCCAAGTCCCGCCAAACGGTCATCTCTCACTTAACCAGTGAAGCGGAAAAAAATGGAATGCGGGGATAAGTGAAAGTACTCGAATCACCCATAAATACTCATCTCTCGGAGGAATCAGAGCAGTCATCAACCGAAGACGATTGTAGATACTAACAATCGAAACGTCGTGAACTAACGTGGCTTGGAATCTCTTAATTTTTTATTTTCATTTTCATTTTTATTTCCTTTTTTTTGTTGTTGAATCGTTCTATTTTTACTTGTATTTTATTTCACTATTATTTCATTTCAGGTTATTTTTGCTTAATATAATTGTTATTTTCAGCTATTCATTTTTAATTTTTCTTTTTTTAGTTGTTTCAGGGATTTCAAATCATTTTATATATTAGACAATGGAAGTCCGAACTAGTGAAATAAATTTGGTATCTGTTACCTGCCAAAGCCACTTTGACCCAAACTTCATAGTAGATCATCTCGATCAATGATGAAGCCAAAAAAATAGTGTGTGTGTGTACTAATGTACGCATGTGAGAAGTTATACTTCGTTTTTTTTTATTTCTCCCTGTGATTTATTTGATTATTCGTTAACTAGCTAGCTTCAGTGCCCTCCTTGAGAAGACTGGCGGCCCCTTACTAGAGAAATGAAGTGTTTTTATAAGAAAAGTGACTGAGAAAACTTAGAGGGGCAGCCTTGTCTCGATCAAGACAGCTGTGCCCCTCAACGAAGATTCTGTTCACTATGAATACTAGGAGTCTGGCCAAATGAGCTTAACTGAGAAGCAACGGCCATATAAATCAAAGAAGAAGAAGCTAACTTCAGGTTGTCGGTTTTTCGTGACGAATTCCCTAACGCGCCAAAAGGAACATAACTTAAAAAAGTTCAAACTCCTATAAATAGCGGAGGTCTGACTTACACGTGTTTTTAGACTAGTGTATTTTATACTTCATATCAATGAACTTGCTTTTCTATTCCACATAATTTCAATCATACTCTATAATGTTTCCAGTTTGTATCAACTTCAGATATTCATCAAAGTTTTTAGTGTTACTGGTAGATACAGCCCCATACAACACATTTAGAACAAAATAGAAGACGACATTATTCATCTGATATTAATCAATGTAATATTGATTTTCTACCATGTTCAATGAGATGAGAATGGACTTGACAATATATTTTAGGACGAAAAGTAATGAAAAATATTCAATAGTTTTCAGATTCGACAAACTTTCCAAATCGACCAACATTTCACTACCTTTCCCATTGAAAATAAATTTGGAAAAACAACACACATGTTGTCATTCACTTCGTAATTGATACCCGTATTGTACTGATTCTGAACAAGACGAAATACATTCAGGGCAGAAACTTTTGATTAGAATCCACAGACAGAAAAGGATTTTTCCAACAAAAAAAGAAAAAGGTATTGACAAAGTTCTTTTGTCATTTGATTGTGATTCAGTTGAAAAATATTTTTTGATCTTTCCACGTATACATTGACGCAGTTACATCAGAACAAATATTGCTCTTCTGACTGTTTTACATTCAAAGAATTGGAAAATGTAACTAATACCAAGGATGATCACCTAGAAAGTGCATTTGGTGTATCAGTTCATCAACTCAGATCTGGTGTCCATCCTAGATTCATTAAATCATCATATTTGTCGGAAAATTATGCAGTTCACAGCCAGCTCCATCTCATAAGAAAATATATAACTTGAAAATAACAATCTTTTCCACACCACTAGAAAACTTGTCGAACGAAATTTCAATATGACCCAAGTACTTGTATTCTGAAAGGCTTTTGGTTAATGCGTTGGACAGTTGGGACTAATTGATATTATTCTGTATTTCGTTTTCTTAGTGCAATAATTTGGCGAATTACTTATGTTCAGAATAAAATATGTTTAAAATATGTTTTTTTGGTCAACCAGCTCTCGCACCCCTACGAACGACAACCCTCAGAAGTCGAAACTTATGCGAGCTAAGGACTAACGAGGTTTTACCTTTTATCATGGTCATGGGCAAAATGATAAGTATCATTTTCAAAACTCAATACTTTAAAGTTTTATATCCAATGAAGTTTTGATAATGTCACTTTTATCATTATTTTCTGTTCATTCAATATGCTTCGAATTTTTCATCCTGCAATAATATCGCGTCTGTAGATGTATTAAACGGCAACAGGGTAAAAATTAATAGAACTATGAGAAATTATGAAACTTATTACTGAAAATATTTTCAGCGCTGGGCTATTACTTATTTTTTCACAAGGCCGTTTTTTTTTATTCTTCATTATCGTGCACGGTATATGGAAATTATTCGACTGTTTTCGTTCCTATCGAACGATCTGAACGAAATACATGGTAATAATACCAAGCTGGTATATTCGGTATGCTGATGATGAATTCTCCGAACTAGACAGAAGTTGAATATTTCATAAACTCGTAGATGATTTTGAGTTCCGCATCTATTTGATGTGATATGAAATTCCGACATGATTCACTATTTCGAATATCTGAGATCGAAAAAAGGTGCTGTTTTTTATTTTCATTGTAATTTTAGTTCTGAACTGTTATTTAAAGAAGAATAAAGATGGTCCCCTGGAATATGTTGTCTATCGACTCCTTTTTTACGTAGTTCAATTGTTTTTCTGTTGTCCAAACTTGTTAATTAGTTTGAGTTCAGGTACCAACCTCAAAATCTTACGAATAATTACCACGCTCAACAACAACATATTCGATATAAATGAGCTTTGACCATTTTGGAGAATGAATGATGAAAAATATATGAACTTTCCAGTGGTGTTTATTGATCAATATAGTGCAAAAATATCAGTTTGGTGTTAGGGCAATTGTTCTCGAAAAAAGTTATTCAACTTTCACACCAAAGGTTCCAATCTCATCGTTATTGATGGACTGACACCTATCAAAAAACAACTACTCCCCTGGCTAATACCATGTTGGGCGTTGGATTATATCCTGAATGAATTGTTCTTGTAGATAATTTGATTCAGGCAGTCTCAAAGTATGCCCACTTACTTTATATACAGTATTCTTTCCTCATATGAGGAAATTGGGCAAATTGGTTGGTTACCTCGTTCACAGGCATATGAGGCGATGACAAATATGTTGTTTGTCAGTCACTTCAGCCTAGTTCGAGAAAAGATACTTTGGAAGAATTTGATTTTCAATTATGGGTAATCATCAACTTTATGTTAATGACAGACACTACCTTTCACTGACGAGTGGCCAAACAGCCCAAAACCGTTCTGCAACTGTGTTCCAATAATTGAAAATCGATTCGGCAGTAGTATCGCCAACTTCTTGCACTCACACCTGTCGGATGTAATACAACACCTCTCGCCCAGGGGAGTAGTAGTTTTCTCTAGGTGTCAGTCGATTAACCTACAGAGTAGGTGAGTGGAGACTGTTCTGAACGAATTGATCTCATAGATGATTTGATTTATAGCCAGTCTCCAAGAATGCTCACTTACTTTATGTACCAAATTTCTCTGAATTCAGAA